TTCCTTCCCCCATGGTTCTCTGTGTCTTATTTGTCTTTTCAGCCTTCTTGAAGCATGGGCTCGATGTTCCAGTGGCACTATGCACAGTGACACTGAACTCTTTCCTGAATTAGTGATTCCATAGTGCAGTTCTTTGCTTTTCTTGGTGTTCATGTGCTTTTCCTGGCTACCTCATCACCTCCTCACCCAATAACTTTCTCCCACAGATGGACCTTTGGATTTCCGAGATGCTGCCTATGCCAAATAGTTGTGCTGCTGGCTTGTGTCACAGTCCCAGCGTGGAAGCTGCACTTGAGATGTTTGGGAGCTCAACTTGGCTGCTGCTGCTCTATGAGAGGTTTCTGCTCTGTTTTCACTCTCAATTTTGAAATGTGTCTCAAATATTTCATAAAACCCCTCAGTGCCAAATGAGTTCTTCCCGGTGCTGCCTCCCTCCCAGCTCTCCTCCTGCTCTGCTGAGAAGACTTTCACAGCTTTGTGTATTGTCCCCTTAGAAAAGCATGGCTGTTTATTTTGTATGTGGCTAGGCTGGAGCTGTTTCCTTTTCGAAGGCGCAAATCAGCAAGCTGACTTACATTCCTTGATTGGCTGGTTAAGCTTAGCCAAGATTCAAAACTCAGTCTTGAACAGAACTAAATGTGACATTTTCTTTTCCAGCTGCTTTTCTGAGTTTAAAATGCCACGCACTTGTGAAGGAGAGTCCCAAAATAGAGCTGTTTATCTAACCCTGGACAAGACACTTAACCAACACAGGAAAAAAATGCATTATTTATAAAATTCCCCTTTCCATCCCTCAGAGTAAACAGGGTGTGTGCCCTCAGGGCTGCTTGGGCAAGAGGGAGCAAAAGTCCTTGTGCCATGTGTGAAATACTGTCTGAACTCTCAATTTCTGTTAGTATGCCCAAATAAAAAAATCACTGGCACTGTAAATTCACAGTAGCATACACTGCTGTTATCTTAGCTCATGGCACAACGGTTCAAAGGAAGGCACTGGGGAAATGCTGGGGCAGGACTCACTGGTGAAGATGTCTCTTCCAGGATGTTTGTTACTACTGCCATCACATCTCATTGGGAATACAGATAGGACAATGACTATTTCATGCTGTGATCTCCTTTCAAAACAAACAAAAAACAGTGCCCATAGAGTTGTTGTTTTTTTTTTTTTCATGAACAAAAAATTAGACATAATGGTATTTTTTCTGAAGGAACAGTGTACAAGTTACTGAGCATCTTAGCTTTTTAGCCCATGTGCAAAACCATACTCCCTGAAAAAAATTAATTGGTAACAATTAATTTACTGCAGCTGGCAATGTCAAAAATCCTACTCTATGTATTAAGTTTATGGTGTGCCACTTCTATTGCTGGTTTCCCACATTCCAAAACAATGTAACAATCTGTCTTCAAGTTAAGCACAAGAATGGTATGAGGTTGCCATGACTAGGAGTGATTGCTAAACAGATCTCCTTATTATATATAATTACCTCACTGTCTAAGCAAGCAGCCGCGCAGAGCAGCTTAATTTTTGTTATATTTAATTCAAATCTGACAGTATAAACCTTAAGAACACTGCAACAAAAGGACTTGGTATTCATAAAGTAATTTGTTGCTAATTTTGTCCAATACCTTAAAAGGTTGCTGGAACTAGGGGACCACAAAAGAATATACTGCTCTAAGCTGGGATTTTTATCACTTTCTAAATGACACAGTGAATGTAAGGGAAAAGCTGTGTGATAGTGGCTGAATGGGTATTGATGGTTGCTGTAGCGCTAAATGATGCATTGGCACCAATATAGAGCCAAAGAACAAATCATCAGTGACTTTTTCAATTTTACTCTTTCAGGGTGAAAAACTCACATCATGACTTGCAAAACCTGAATTAGCTGAAGGAAACCTGCAGCAGACAAACCCAGTTTTGTGCCCACGTTCTTTCACCCATCGCTGTAGCAGCACAATAAGCGAAAAACCCAACCCACCCCCCAAAAACCTACATGGGAAGAGGTGTTGTTCCATGTACCCACTTTTGTATACCCAGCTCTGCTGTATGTTAAAAAGCTGGTCTTCCTCATCTCTGCATGGGGACAAGCTCTTCCAGCTGCTTATGCAGGTGGGAAAAACAGGTCCCTGAGGTCTCTGCTGTCCAAACCAGACTGAGTGCAATGCACAATGCATATTAAACACTGTATCTGATGCTTTGGCTGGTAGTAGGGAAGAGAACTGGGAGCCTCCCTGAATACTGTGTAAGTATTTCTCCATTTCAGGTTAATATACTTTGGCCCTGAGAAACATGACTGACTTTTTTAATTTGCCCTGTGGTTTTGGCACCCACAGACACCTAATATGACAACCAGTTTTCACCGGTGCATGCAACTGTGTTTGTGGGACAGATTCCCAGGCTGGCCAAGATCAGCTCTGTGATACATCATGTCAGAAAGTGCAGAGAGTAGGTGGATCTAGATTTCTCTTTAAGCAGAGAGGGTACAGGGACTTGTAAACAATATCAGCTGGGGTGGTGGACTAGACTGAGGAGCAGTCTGGAAATTCCTGACCCCCTACACCCCTTGGCTGGCAGGGCTGAGCTCAATTCCTGCTAAAACAGCAGCAGTTGTGCTCCAAAAATATGGAAAGTGCAGATGAGCTCATTGATGGGATGTGGACTCCACCCTCCTTTCTCCATGGCGGGTGATAGCTGCCATGTGCATGACTGCAAGTCCCCTGCCTCCTGACATGAGCTGAACACCAGCAGTGACCTCATGGGCTCATTAATTCTTCTTACTTCATTTGCGGTTTTTCACTTTAGCTTTTCATTTAGCCATCCAAGATTTTAATTCTCTCAGTATTTCTTAAGTTACCCTTGGGTCTTATCAGAAAAAAAAGGGGAGCTAAGAATAATTTTGCTTATGCTGCTAGGGTAAAGATCAGTCTTCGGTAGAAAAGATGTTTGTAGTTCTACTAATAAAAATTTACTTAAAACCAAAAAAAGATGCAACCAATCAGCTCTCATATAAAATGAGAGTTCATTCTCAACATCCTCTGTCTATCCAGGTTTGTTTCCTGGCAGACCTTTGAGGGAAAAATCATACCTCACTGTGACAATATTTAGTTGGCATATAGGGAAGAGAAGAGCCAAAATATATCCAACAGTCCCTGTATACTAGACTGTTTCTCGGGGAAAGAAGAAGCCCAGAGTGATGCATCTGAAGGAGTCTAAGCAAAAACACTGATACAATGCCTGCACTGTGGAAGCAGCAGGTTGGGAGGTGGAAATGATTGTGCTCAATAACAACCATGCTCTGTGCAATAGGGTCTTTTGGAGAACACTGGAATACATCCAGCAAGAATGCATGGAAATAATGTAGAGATAGGGAAACAGCTTTGTGGCACAGCTGTGACCAGGGAAAGGGAATTCAGAAATTGCTTGTTTCTGTGGGGTCACCCGTTTTAATTTGAGTCACTTAACCAATGCTCTCAAAACAGCAATTGAGAGGATGTGTCAATAAAAGTGAATGAACACCTATAGCTTGGGCAGGTTGATAAAATTTCATGAATAAATCATGAGAGTTCCTTCAGTAGCAAGTTGCAGTTCCATGAAATTGTGAAGTGACATGCTTCACTTTTAGGGCCTACACAGTTAATTGATAACCCAGGAACACACTGCATTAAGAAAGAAATACTTAGCCTTGCTTAGTGAGGTCAGCACAGGTCAGAGCACAGTACCTAAAGTCTGTCCTTTCACACCTCTCCCTGGGTTGTGAGGAAACTAAAGCATCTGCACCTCAAGTCCTGTCTTTAGTTTTGGGTCCCTCACTGCAAGGAAGACATTGAAGTGTTGGAGTGTATCCAGAGAAGGGCAACAGAGCTGGGGACAGATCTGGAGCACAAGTTTAATGAGGAGAATTTGAGGTAGCTGGGTGTGCTTACTCTGGAGAAAAGGAGCCTCAGAGGGGGCCCTTATGGCTCTCTACAACTCCTTGAAAGGAGGCTATAAAAAGAAGGGGGGGCAGGGGGGGAAGGTGGGAAATCAGTCTCTTCTGCCAAGTAAAAAGCGATAGGATGAGAGGTAATGGCCTCAAATTGCACCAGGGGAGCTTTAGACTGGACATTAGGAAGAATTTCTACACTGAAATTTTGGTAAATCATTGAAACCAGCTGCCCAGAGAAGTTTTCAAAAGACATTTGGATGTGGCATATAGGATTGTGGTGCAGTTGTGAATAAGGGTGGTGCTGGATTAAATGCTGGTCAATGACCTAAGAGGTCTTTCCAACCTAAGTGATTCTGTGATTTGTGAGCATTCCTGTCTGAGAAACAAGGTGTGCAGCCACAGGGAGTGTCTTTTACCGGTTTTGCATTTTTAAGTAATTTTTACACTGTGTACTTGTTCAGGCACTTGAAAGGAGGCAGATATAAGACGGAGTGTGCCCATGCAACATCCTGTCTACAACCATGATGGGGCACTGCAGGGGTGAGAAATGGAGCTCTTAGGAGCAATGGATGTTTCTCCTTTCCTGGTTTCCTAGCGAGTTTGTCATTGCAGGAATCTGTAACCAGCAAGTTGATTCAGTAAGTGAAACAAAAATGAGCCAAAGATGTTTAATGGCAGTGACACCATCTTGGCTCCAACTCAAGGAACCTTTGACTCTAAAAAACCTCCACAGCTTTCCAGAAGAGAGTTACAAATGGAAGTGGGGGTTTTTAGATAAGTCCCTGCCCTTTGTCCAGGCCTCTGGCAGCAGGCAGTAGCTTTATTGAGGTGGCAAGCACCTCAAAACCTACTCTCATTCACAAGTTCTTTAATAATAATTGACTTGGTCTATTATAGAATGAATTACTTAGTTAATAGACATAAAACTAACAAACATAAGACTTAAAACAAACAAATACTACACAGGAGTAAGGACAAAAAAGAGACTACAAGAAGATATATATAGCACAAGGTTAAAGGTAGCTATTAATGTTACAGCCAGTGAAGAAATAACATAATTTAGGATTCAATGTATCTTACCATCCAGTTGTTGGTGGGACACACATCGAGATCCTTTCCCTCGATCCCCAGGGAAGTAATCGCAGAATCTGCATCCAGGCTCCAGGGAGAAGTCTCCAACACTTCAGGGTGTGTGTGTAAGAGGCTTCTGCCTCTGTGATAACTTGTGTGTCTTTTATAGTCTGTAAAATAGTGTCTCTCAGTCAAGAATATTTCTTTTATCTCCTCCCACATCTGCTCTCCAGACTGAGATGTTGATTCTTAGCTGAGGCCTGAGCCTTTCTGGCACCTTTTTGGCACCCTTTCAGCCTGGGTTATCTCTTTATGCTCCAACTATGTGCAGTGGGGTGAAGCGGGGAGTGGAGGGGTAGACAACCTGCCACAAAGTGAGAACAGAAAAAAAGAAGTAACACAGATGAGAAATTAAATTCCCCCACACCAGACAGCTGGTCCTTCTGCCTATGTGTCCCTGAGCCTCAAAAGGGCTCTGCGTCTCCTGAGGGAGCTTTAGGTACCCACGTAAGAGGGGCTGGAGGTGTAAGTTGAAGCAGGTGAGGGCAGGTAGAGGCCTCAGCAGGGAGCAGTGAGGAAGGAGAGGTTTTAACTAAGTTATAACCTGGTCTCCCAGACATCATCCCTCAAGTTATCTCTCAGGGTTTTTACCTGGACACTCCAGAAAGCCCCTGTGCATGGCTGCTTGGTGTGGTTGTTGGAACACGTGGAGGCCTCAGGAGTAGCCATGTGTGAGGCAGGCCCGGCCTAGTCCAGGAGAAGGGAAGGAGCAGCAGTGAGAGGCAGACATGCCTCCATCAGTGGCTGGCATTGCAGTGTCATTAGGCAGAAGAGGTTAAAAATAGGATTTTGCAATCTAGTGAGCAGAAGCATCAACCAGATGGCAGAGGAGGGAGAGAGGCATTATTCCTACTGTCTAGGTAAGGATTTTCGTTAAATTGTTCTGGATCACAGAGCTGGAAAGGAAGAAGGGGCTTTGCAGCCCTGTACTAACAGGGTGTGGGGGACAGCCACAAGCCTGGCCTCTCTCAGGGAGCTGCTTTCTGCCTGTCCATTATGGTGTGGCTAATGGCAGGCTACCCTGGTCCTACCAAGTGTTGTGATGAAGGTGTGAGAAGCTGCAAGCAACTTCTACATGCTGGGGTAGGTGCTGTATCTGCTGTGCGCAATGGCTGGGCAAAGCTTCACTGAGGGAGGAAAATGGAATCCTTTGTGCCTGTGTGTGCTGTTTTCAGGTGTGAAGATTTGCCTTTCACCTGAGGCACATGAGCTTCTCAGCAAAGTGCCGATAGCTCTGAGGTTGCTCAGGTCAGGTGTCCCCTCTTGTGTGCTGGAATGTCATGGAGAAAGGATTGACTGGGGAGTTTTGGCACTGGGTCTCATCCCACTGCTGGGTGGGCCTGTGTCCGATGGAATGTGTGTGACAGAGAGGTCTTTGTGTTGCCACATTTATAGTGACTTGTTCTGTGGTAAGGGAGGAAACCTGCTTGTGGTGCCATGGAACAGGCCAGGTCTCCTGTGCCACCATCCCCTCTCCCTCCTTCTGCCCCATTGCTTGCTCCTGAGACTCCTCTGCTCTCCTGCTGTGCTCCTTGCAAACAGCAAATACATCCGATAAGTTAGTGCAGGGTGAGGCTCCCTTTCTTACCCAGCCTCATTTATGCCTTAAATTAAAATTCTTAGGCAAAAATTTAGACCTAATGTTTAGCTGAAATAAATCCTGGTTACAACTGAGTCTTTTATCTGCTGGTAAGAGGTAAAAAAGGAAAGTGCTATGTGTTAACTCCATTATAACATGTTGTATCTCTACATCATTCAGCTGTCACTTTCTCAACCTCCTTCCCAGAGTGAAATTATGTAGTCATGATAGGAACTGCTGGGATGGTGGGACATGGGGCTGTTCTGGGGCTTGGTAGTTGTGCAAAAGGATCACAGTCAGACACAGTGCAGTAAATTATCTGATATTTTGCATTTACTTCTTACAGCTTTCTTTCTCTTAACTTATAATGGATTCACTCTGTAAAAGTAAAGCTGTATAGTTGTGTATGAAAAGGTGCTCTGATGAAATGAGCGTTGCCTAATAGAATCAATACAAAAATATCTAATACTAATTTTCCAGCTACTATGACAGAAAACTGTGGAAGGAGGAGGGATCCTCTTGCAGATGGGAAACCCTATGACTCCCTCAGTTATCCCCCACTTAAAAGCTATCAATTTAGAGCTGTCCTGTGTACTGCCCCGTGAATTGAACAAGCCTTTTCAGTCTTTAATTAAGGGTGACAAACTCTTTGAACATCACAGCATTCATCTGTTCATGTGTGGAAAGCCTGGTATAACAAAAGAATTTAATCAAACTACAAGCCTAATGAAGACTGCATTGCCTGAACTAAATGATGTTATTGCTGCTGCAGCTCATAGTTTTACATTTAAAAAAGCGGGTCAGAGTGTTCATTCATCTTGATTAGCAATGCCAACCTAATTACTTCTGGAGGAAACAGTAATTAGCTGGAGTCTCACCTCATTAATCATGACATTCTTCTAGCAGACTATTTTTATCTCATAAATGGCTTGGATTGGAACAAGGTGTATATTTGAATTCTAGTTAATTGTACACAGCTTGCTGCATAACATTTCACATTTTTATCATTTAACTGCTTCCTTCCTGTAAACCTCTAAGCTATTTTTGTAGGTTGCTCTTGTTAAATAAGAGATGAATGGCCCACATAAGATAAGTCAGCTTTAATTATGGATGGAAGGAGATGAAGGTGTGTTCCAGCAGCAGGGAAATGGAGTCCCTGCTTGCACAGGAGAATAAAGGGATCTTTTCTCAGGCAGAAATCAGGGCACAACTTCTATTGCACTGACACTTAAGAGAAGTCTGGACCAAGATTTTCAATGGGGAAAAATGATTAAATACATCCTCATTATTAAAGACAAGTTCCTGGGGATGCTTCCATGTAGGCACCTTGAAGTCAGTGCACCTGAGTTGCCAGTCACTTCTGACAGCATTGCAGTATTGATTATTACATGGTTTAAAAATGTGTGTTGCTAGAAACTTGGTTTTGCATTTATTAAAACCCATGAAGAAGCAAGTACTTTTTTTTTTTTTTTTTTTTAAGTTGCTTTAAACCACTTCTTAATTTTACAAATTATAATTTTTTTTCTGAACTTTAAGAACAAGGAAAGTGAGAGAGTATGGGAACTAAAGTTCCAGATTCAGTTCACTAATAAAACTATTAGAGCCTAATTTTCTAGGGAGGATGATCATGGATTCATTAGTCTGGGAACATCAGATTTTTTAGAGGTAGTAAAATAAATGGATCTTTGTATGTATGTTTATAAAACATATGTCAAATGTGTCCCTATTACTGTACTACTGTGAAGGAAGTTCTCCTGCATGAGGCCATGTTTTATACATATTTTTTTTAAGGTTGAAATGTAGGGTGTTTTTTCCTTACCTAAAATCTATCTTTTTAAACAAGCAGTATGCTAACCTGAAGCAAGAGAGAAGATTCACAAAGAAACACAGGAAAAAATAAAAGTTATTCTTCCATTTTCAAATAACAAATATTGTCAAGATTATACTTGGAATTAGTTGTATGCAATGTTTTACATTTCCAAAGCACAAAAATGTTAGCATCAGCTTTTATTTGCTTTTAGCAAATAGAGAAATAAGCTGTATTTTAGAAGTTGGCCTATGAGTAGCTTTCCTCTTCCATAATCTGTTAAATTAACATTACTACAAATGGAAACTAGTAGCTATTTCTGAGTATTTCCTGCAATAATATTTAGCTGTAACTGCCCCACAGATTAAACTGTAACCCAGTAGCCATTGGGACACTTTTGGAACTTGCAAATAAGACAGCAAGTATTCTTGTCAGTTTTTGAAAAATTATTAAATTATTCTCATTTTAATAATTAAAGAAAGTACTCTGCATTTTTATGTAATTGTGTTTTTAAAAAGTTTTCTTGAAGTCCTCTTTCCTCTCTTTCAATTACAAAAAAAAAAATGGAAAACACATGAAGAGAAAATCAAGTGTCCCTAAAACTGAACAAACACCTCTCCCTCCGTCTCTTGACCTTGAAAAAGACATTTTTTCACAGGAAAGAATTTGATGTAAGAGGCAATTTTCATTCCAAAAATATGTCAAAAAGAGTCCACACAGTGATAAAGCAAAAAGTTTCTTAACTTCTCTGGCAGAAACAGCCCTGCTTTTTTTGTAGATGGGAAGTAGCTGCAGAAAAAGGGCATATTTGACTCATGCATATGCTACATGTAAGTGACTTTTTGATATTCAAGTGATTAATTTAAAAGTCTTTTTCAATAACTGGTATTGTTTCTAATCGTTAACTTTATTATTAGGATCCAATATGTTTAAGGCAGATACCTTTGATCATAGGTCCCATTACAGTGTTATGCTGGAGGCAGTGCTTGTCAAATGTTAGAAATGTAGGAGTTTTCTTAATGAGTATGTACTTATAAATTAATAAAAATTTAATAAATATTTAATGAAAACTGTAGGATTGTTTGCCTGCAAATTACTTGTGTAGATATCATTGATATCTCATAATTTCAGTCATAGATCACTTCTAGAGGATTCCTCAAATCTAGAGAAAATTACTTTCCCACTTCCAATAGGCTAAAAGAAGCTCATACTAAGCTTTTGATATTTAAGTAGTACTTCTGACATCTCAAATGAATTTATAAAAAATTAATTAAGCCACTCCTGCACTTCTGATAGAGGCTGGCATTACCTGACCAGTTTTGAGGAGGAACTGAAAACTAATTTGATTAAGGACAACTCTCTCAAAAAAAGGATTTAAATGTGTGTAGGGCTCAGAATAACCGGCCTTGTCTCTTGCTACAGGTCAAAATGTCAGTATACCTTATACTTGAGCTTAGTGACTTTGTGAGCCATGTGCAGAGCCAAGAGCAGGAGACCAAAGTTGTTGTTATTTTTGTTGTTTTTCCAGCCATGAGATACAGACTCAAACTTTACTCTTGTCCTCTTTGCAGCAGAAATTTAATCAAAGACCCCTTAGTCAAAGGGCTGATGTAATATCCAATTGGAACACAATTTCTTATCCTGAAATCCACAATAAAGGGAACTGAGCTTCCTTTGTACCATTTCAGTGGTGAATTCTGTAGAGAAGTGGGGAGCAATGGGCAGATGTTTGGCTCCCCAGCCCTTGGGTCTCGGGTGGTCTGTGGCACAGAGAAAATGCCCTTTTGTTGTCTGGAGCATGCAAAGTTGCATTTCTGTGCATTTGTGGGGACTGTGGGAAGGGGCCAAACAGCCACTGGAGGAGTGGGATAGACCAGGCTGCTTCTCTGTCGGATTTGACACGTCCTATTTTCCCCTGCCTGCTGCTGCAGAATTGTAAGAAGTCCTTGAGCAGGTCTCCAAATTCTGTAATTTTGTAATTACATAATTGTAATTTATGTCCAGATTCTCTTCTGTGAGGCCTGCTGTACGAAACACTCCCACCATCCCAGAAATATTCCAGTCACAGGATTCAAGTGCTGTTTTTGGGTATGTTGTATCAGACATTATAACTTTGTGTATATCCAGTCCTGTTACTGCATTTAAAACATGTGATCCTGGTCTCAGGTATTGCCAGGGTTGCATCCTGTGTTTGCCTTGAAAGGCTTTTAAGAATGTCCAGGGGAAAAGTTTTAAACACTAAAATTCAATTACAATCTCTAAAAAATTATTCAAAATTGCTACT